ATGAAGAGAAGTGCAGGTTCCACAGTCTGACCGTGGAGTGCCTGTGTCAGAACTGGGCCTCCTTAGTGGCTTAGACAAAGCAGTGGACAGCATATCCAGGTGCTCGTGGAGGATATGGCAGTACATTGGAACCTGCAGAGGATACCTGGTACCACAACAGAAGATAGAGAACAAAACAAATCAAATCAACTAGCCCAGCCAAGTGTTGGCAGTGAAAATCTGGGCAAGTGGAGATGCTAAAGTGGACTATGTCAGCCAATGGATTCTGAAGAGATTTCATCATGCTTGGAATGGTGAGATTGGCAGCAATTCAGAACAGTTGAACTATCAAAACCACTTGAGCAGTGCCCTCGGAGCATGCCCCACATCAGGGACCCTGGGATGGTTGGGAGGGTGATGTGGCTTCTCTCTTTATCTCTCCCCTTTCCCCAGATACAGGAAGGAAAAAAGAGAATGTGCAAACAATTGTCTTACCCATTTCTCTGTAGCCCTTGACCTTTTGAGCTCTTTTTTTTTTAAAGATTTATTTTTTTATTTTTATTGGAAAGGAGGATATACAGAGAGGAGAGAAAGAGAGGAAGATCTTCCATCCGATTATTCACTCCCCCAAGTGAGCGCAACGGGCCGATGCTATGCCGATCCGAAGCCAGGAGCCTCTTCCAAGTCTCCAGCGCGGGTGCAGGGTCCCAAAGCCTTGGGCCGTCCTCGACTGCTTTCCCAGGCCACAAGCAGGGAGCTGGATGGGAAGAGGGGCTGCCAGGATAAGAACCGGTGCCCATATGGGATCCCGGGCATGCAAGGCGAGGACCTTAACCACTGCGCCACCATGCCGGGCCCGACCTTTTGAGCTCTTAATCAACTATGTAAAGATCATCAAAAGAAAAAAAAAAAAGAAAAAGAAATAAAAAATGAAAACTGAGCAGGCATTGGGAGAACCAGTTAAGATGCCACTTGGGGTGTCCACACCCTGTACTGGAATGTCTGCATCAAGATTTTGTTGCTCTACCTCATGCCAATGTGCACCCTCACAGGCACATGATGGCATGAGTAACTGGGGCATTGCCACCTACACAGAAGTTCAAGATTGAGTTCAGGACTTCTAGCTTCAGCCTTTCCAACCCTAGCTATTATGGACATATATTAAGTTAATTCCTCTCTCTCTCTCTCTCTCTTTGTCTCCCTTTCAAATACAGTGGAAGGAGACAGCTCAGCCCAGCCCACCCCAAGATCTAGCTCTTTTGTGCGCCAGCAACCTGCCCCTAGTCCCAGCTCTCATGCACATCAGTGGGTGCAGCAATCTTACAGAGGTGTCCCCAGAAAAATCATACCAGGCCCACCCACAGCCCCAGTATAACATGCCAGCTGTTGCTGCAGCCTAACCTGATGTGGTCCATCCCCAGCACCAAGACACACTGGTGATGCTAATGCCCAGCTAAAGTGGTCCATGCACAAGCAAAACTTTCCACTGGCTGGTGCTGTGGCACAGCCATTCCCAGGCCACCCCCAGTCCCAGTTTTCACCAGTGGGTGCTGCAGCCTAGTCTTCCACCCCAGCTCTCATGTGTGATAGCATATTCTATGACCTTGCCTGGCCTGGCCCACCTTGGCTTACGCTCTCATGCACACCAACAGGTGCTACATTCTAGTAGAGATATCCCCAAAGATCCTCAACAAGGTCCACCCCAACCCTGGTTTTTGAGTGTGCTAGAGGATGCTGTGGCTCAGCCCAACATGGCCCAAACCCTTGTTCCAACACTCAACAGCAAGTATTGCAGCCTAGCCTAGCCTAGTCTAGCCCGGGCCATTCCCAATTTCAGCTATCATTGGAAAGTGCTGTGGCCTAGTACCCTGCCCAGTTTTCACATATGCTGGTGCAGACTGCAGCCTTGGGCTGGCATGCCCCACCCTGGCTCTCACATACACTGACAGGCACTGTGGCCTGGCTTGGCTCAGGCCACCCCCAGCTCTGGCACTTGCTGACACATGCTGTGGCCTAGTCAGGCAACTCCAAAGAACCTCCTCCAGACTCACCCTCAACATATCTTTCAGCACCAGCTGGTGTTACATCCTAGCTTGTCTCAGTCGGTTCCTTACCCTGGCTCTCATGAATTTGGGCAGTAGCTTGGCCTGATCCAGGTAGGCCCTCTGGATTCTGACCTACCCCCATTGCCTGCAGGTGCAGTGACCGTGGAATCCCTTACAAGTCATTCCATACATGTCAACCATGCACCCAGACCCCCAGAGTGCATGAGGTCTGGCAGTAGCTAGGGCCCAAATCATATCAATAAATCTTATTATAAAATATTGAGAGAACTAAATCTGAGAAAGAAAATAGAGTCAGAAATGTGCACAAAAGTTGCAAAGAGATTGCAGAGTCACACAATTAGCAGTCATGTATTTCAAGCCATCTATATTGCAAACCACAAGTTACAAGAAAGTAAAACATGAAACCTATGTGTATGTATAAGCATGCTTCTTTCTCAAACTGGTTCTGACTTTTGCAGTAAATCTGCTGCATAAGGAAACTGGTGCAATTATCCACAGCAGGATCTAAGGGCACATATTGAAAATCAAAGGCCAAGATCCTACCCAGGTCTACCCTTATTCTCTGTGGAAAAGAATGGAAATCTGCAGCTTGCAGAAGTACCGAGTTGTAGTTTACTTCCAAATCAGAACTTAAGGCCTAGAATAGAATCAGTCCTTAAATGAAAAAGCAAGTATTATTATTTGGCTTTCTGAAAGGCAGTAATATTGTAACTTATTATCAAATGAGTAATCATCAACATATAAATAAAATGTAAACTGATTGTATAAATATTCAAGCAAGGGTAGTTTCTATCTTATTATTCTATGACCCAAAGTCCTGTGTGTCTGGCACACGGTAGGGACTCAATAAACATGGTCAAATTAACATAATTTGGAACAGAGAGTTCCTAAAAGAGAGAAATCAATTTGGGGAATTGGAGTTGGAAAGTGGAAGGAGGGAACATAAGATTAAGATAGACAGATTCTCAGATTCAGAGAAAACACATTTATGCAGCATGACACGGAATAAGAAAGATGTGAACTGAGAGTCTTTTAATGAAAGCTTTGCATAGCAATGTCACATGACAAAGTCCACGGTTAGCAAAGCCAAGCCCAAGGTCATGCCACATAAGAAAGTCAAAGCACAGGGAGGTGCACATTCTCAAGATTGCAAGTTCAAAGAGCTAGCATACCCAGAGGCATATTGTTATCTTTCTCCTCCCTCCTATGCCTCAGCAACCCCTTGATGGCCCTGAAGACACATCAGCATGAATGCTGACAACACTTTCCCCAAGAACAAAAGCTGCTGGGTGAGGCTCAGTTGGCAATCCTCTCTGCTTGGCAAGGAGGAATCCTTTGAACCACTGCCACCCCATCCACCCCCAACCCATCCCTATCTTGTCTCTCTTATCTAATTGCACATCACTTCCTGCTCAACCTTGTTCAAGCCATGCTGGCCACAGCAGAATCCAACAAGAAAGTGAACTCATTTAAACCAGTTAATCATTCTATGCCTCATACCCCTCTCCTATACAGTAATGGAGTCAATTCTGTGAACCTAGCTACCAAGGTATCATTTAAGTGCAATCTGAAAAAGGTGAAATGAAATTCCAACTTTAACATTCCTATGACAAGTATCCTTGGGTACTGTCATGTCAATGTTAATATTATAAAGACACAGAAACATTTTGAAGTGGGAATATTACCTGCACCACTGATTTGTCATTCTGAGATTAAGTTTGAAACCACTTGGAAGAAGACAATCCATTTGAAAGCAAAACAAGAAAGATAACGAGCAGAGAGGTAAATTTGAGTCTACAAATTAGATCAACTGTTATCATTCCAGATATCAAAATCTATTACTTATACAAAGTATTTGTACCTAAGATATTCTGGAATTGTGTCTGATACAGGCATTATTGAATTTTCACCATAGTTCTTTAAAAAAAAAAGAAAGAAACAACCACACAAAATTCATGTTTTAGGAAATCTTTAACAGTTTGGTTGAAAACTCATAACCATTGGATGTGAACCACACATTCTTAAAGCCCAGCAGACTTTCTGAAGACAGAAGCATTAGATCTACACCATGCTATTAACCAGCCTTAAGCGCAGCAGAGGACCATGGAGAGCAGGGAGAGAAGAGGAATCTGCAAACCCATTCCCAAATTCGGGTTGGCAGGAGCACACCATCAGTGTGATTAGACAAGCCCCTAGGCTGCAATGCGGCATAGCAAAAGGAGGTGCCCTTAGGATTCCAGGAGAAACGCTCATGAATCCAGGAGAAAGCTAAGAGTAAATCTAATTGTGAAGAAGGAAGGAGAGCCCAGGAAAAGCAACAGGTCACCTGGATATAGGGAAAGTCAAAATGCAGATTCCTCAGCCTGCCTGTTGACTCTCTCAGAGTACTTTTAAGTACATCAGAAGGTAGGATCCCTCAGTCATCCCCTTGTTTGGCCCCTGGTGCCCTTGCTCCAGTCCTCAATGCAGACAACTCATAGAAGCACAGGGTAGTCCTTTGAAAACCCTGAAGGAGCAATTTAGAGAGGAGGAATGATTACAAAGATTTTCCCACCTTGAAGACCCCCAGGTGCAGGGAGCAGCACTGTGCATACAGCCAGTAGAGGAAGCTATGACTAGTGGGATACGGACAACCAGAAGCCAAATCAACACTACACTGGACTCCGACACTGCCTCCTGCAGGCCACTTGAGGGGTGAAGCAGATCTGACAAGAGACTAGGTACTAGTGAAGGGTGGTCAGAGTAGGCAACTAATAACCAAAGGAGGGAAAGAGGCATGTATCTGTCCTGTTGTGAAGGCCCTTGAACCTCCTCAGCATCCCTAGGAACTGGACACAAATTCATTAGGAACCCCCAGGGAAACAGTGCTAGTACATCAAAAACTACGTGAAATGACATTCTTACCCCAACCACGCACACACACACCTATTCTGGTATCACAGGTAGTACACTCACATTCTTACGCAGCCATGGTGACTTTGACAACTTCATAAAGGTCAAGTGAGGCTTAAAACTTCGGTCATCTCCTACCTTGACACCTTTTTCATGAAATGTTCTTTTTGCAGTCTCTGAATAAAAGGAAAGAAATACAAAGTTGTTACTACAACACATAGTTGTCTTAACTTATGACAATTGAAGAAATAATTATTATATGATAAAGATTCATTTGCTTTTTTTACTTCCTTCCTAAGGTTTGCTTACTTATTTTAAAGACACAGCGATAGAAACTGAGGGAGAGAGCGAGATCTTCCATCTACTGGCTCACTCCCCAAATGCCCCCAAGAGTGAAAGTGAAGCCAGAAGCTCTCGGAACTGCATTCCTCCGTGCATTGGGCAGAGGCTCACGTACTTACAACATCGTCCCCTGCTTTCCCAGGCACATTAGCAGTGCCCTGGATCAGAAGGAGAGCTACCAAAATGCAAATTAGTTTCCCAGTATGAGATGCCAGTGTTGTATGCAGTGGCTTAATCCAATGCATATTACCAGCACCTAGATATTGGCTTCTAAAAATAAAAAGCTACAGTGTGCATAGTAACAAACACTATATGACAATTAAACCTCCAGTGGTTTCCAACATATGATGAATCACAAAAAAGTGATCCCTTTAAAAGGGAGCATCTGGGCCCAGTGGGATGGCAGAGCGGCTAAATCCTCACCTTGCATGCACCGTGATCCCATATGGGCACTGGTTCTTGTGCTGGCTGCTCCACTTTCCATCCAGCTCTCTGCTTCTAGCCTGGGAAAGCAAACCTGTGGACCCTGCATCAACATGGGAGACCTGGAAGAAGCTCCCGGCTCCTGGCTTCAGATCGGCTCAGCTCCAGCCATTGCAGCCACTTGGGCAGTGAACCAGCAAATGGAAGACCTTTCTGTCTCTCCTTCTTTCTGTGAATATGTCTCTCAAATAAAAATAAACAAATCTTCAAAATAAATGAAAAGAACGCATCTAACAAAGAATTTTTAGGTTAATAAGATGCTGATTTACACCAAATATTCCAGTGGTTCCCACATGAATAAAAGGGAGTAGCTTTGCTGTACTGCTCCATATCTAAAATGTGCACTTCTGAGCCAACTGCAGTAATAAGAACACTAAGAAACAGGAAGCAAGCAAGCAAGGGGAGCCCTCTGCTTGCCCCAGCTTACATCCTTGAGCGCCCAAGCCCCTACACTAGGAGGAGCAAACCCAGATGGAGCTCAAGCACCACCATGAGGAAAGAGCTGAAAGTGAGAGAGACCAAGGTAACCGGAGCTAATAGGACAAAACACCTAAGAAGTGAGACCTGGACCTAGAGAAAATTCCACAGATCTGGAAAAGGTCCCCTAACATGGGGGCAGAACGTGCAGCCGATGAGCCTTACAAGACCAGTAAAATCATTTGGTCTGTCCCTATTAAGGCAACTGCAGGTAGGAGACTCAAAATTCAGTAAATCTGTAGTAGGCTAATAATCAATAACTTTGTGTGTCTCCTAAGCAATATTACAAATATTCAAATAATATTTGGCAGACAAAAACATTCTCTATCTCTGGCAGAATACTAACTGAATTCTAATCACTGCATGTAAATGAGGAAACTACCAGAAGTGACTGGGAAACACTGAAAAGGATTGAAAAGTACCCAGTGCTATTTCAAGTTAAAAATGTATCCTGAAAAACCTCAAGATTCATGAGATATTGCAGAAACAGTCTTGCATCAGTACTGAGGAATAATGAGCTCAGGACTAGCACTGCTCTCATGACACCTAACAGATCTTAGAAGAAAGATCCAAAGGGGTGGCAGGTGCATGAAGTGGGGGTGAACGGGTTTCAGGTACAAATTATATCTGAAAACAATGTCCAAAATATTTACACAAATATAAAACCATCTAGGATCCAACAAGTTAAATATTTTAACATCTGGCATTTAATCAAAAATTACCAGACATACAAAGAAGCAAAATGATATGACCCATAATAAGGAGATAAGCCAATTAGTTAAAAATGGACCAAGAGAAGGACCCTGCACCCACCCACGTGGCAAACCCAGAAGAAGCTCCTGCCTCCTGCTTCCTGCCTCCTGGCTTCAGATCGGCTCAGCTTTGGTCATTGCAGCCATTTGGGGAATGAACCAGAGGACAAAAGAGTTTTTTTTTTTTTCTGTAAAACTGCCTTTCCAATAAAGATAAATAAATCCTTAGAAGAATTACAATTCCTTATCTTTACAAAGTAGAGATATCTAAGCTAAAGAAAAAACCAAAATGAAACTTCCAGGGATGAAAACTGCAATGTCTGAGAAAAATAACTAGATAGAAATTAAATTATGGATTAGACACTGCAAAACAAAAGATTACTATACATGAAAACATAGCAATAAGAACTACCAACAAATAAAAAGCGAACAAAGAAAGGAAAGGAAAAAAAAAAAAACAGAACTTCAGAGAACAGCAGGTCAACTGCAAGTTGCTCAAAGTATATACAGCTGGAGTTGCTGAAAACAGAGCAACCACAGGCAAAACGCAAAGTAATCCGAGTAGTAGCCATTAGCATTTAAACTACACAAGCATTTGGACCATAGAATCCAATTAAAAGAAAAATACACAGAATAAAAGGACTGGCACATAAAATGTTACGTAGAAGATATTTACTAAAGTACTGTCTGAGTTAGCATAAACTGTAAAACAAAATAATAAGGAAAATAAGTTAAAAACCTTCAACAGAAATAGATTAATCAGTATGTGACATATTAAGGACTATCACATAGCTAATAAAAGGGGCTAATTACAGCTCCTTTTTTTCATTATTTTTATTGTTTTCCATGATATATTTTGGTACGTATAGGGATTCCCTCTCCTTTCCTCCTCTCCATGTTCCCCTCCTATCATTTCCCCCCATATGATTACAGTGGTATACTCCTTTATAACAGTTACATTAACATTCTACTGTTTATTACGGCATTGTACAGCTATGTTTATAGACCTATTAAGCCAACAGAAAGAGGAGATATGGAGCTGGCATTGTGGCATAGTGGATAAAGCCACTGCCTGGAACAGCAGCATCCCACATAGGCACTGATTTGTGTTCCAGCAGCCTCCATTTCCCATCCACCTCCCTGCCAATGGCCTGAAAAAAAAAGAGCAGAAGATGGCCTAAGTGTTTGGGTCCCTGCTATCTATTGTGAGAAGCTTGGAAAAAGATCCTGGATCCTGGGTTTGGCCTGACCCAGGGCCACCTACTATAGCAATCTGGGAATGATCACAGGATGAAAGATCTTTCTTCCTCTTCTCTTCTCTCCTCCCCTCTCCTCTCTCTCCCTCTGCCTCTCCTTTCTGATGCTCTTTCAAACAAACAAATAAATCTTAAGAGAGAAAAAAAAGAAGTTATATAGTTATTATAAATAAATAGCACATTACTATACATTCAAAGGGAAATAAAATCATTTGTATTTAGAATTTCACTGGCTAGAAAAATAGTGAAGAATTCCTTGTAATGAGGTAGAGGTTGGGCAGAGGCAGGGAAAAGTAGCAATGTCATATTTATCTGTATATTGAGCTGTAATAATAACCCCTAAGGTAATAGTTTAGAAAAAATTTAAAAAGCAAAATAATAAACTGGCAATGTATTAGCAAAATAGCATTGCTATAATTACACAGGCAGTACAGCAGAATACATAACTGGAAAGTTAAATTATTTGTTACATAATATGAAAAAGTCACACTGTTTAAAAACCATTGGTAAACAACTTTACATTTAATCTTTTTATCCAAAAACAGGCGGAGCCAGTAGTTTTAAGTCCATCTGAAAGAGGAAAAAAAAAAAACCTGAAGAACAGGTTAATGCTTAGGGTCACGGTCCTGGGTCCTGATATTAGCAACAAAGGAGGAAGAGGAGTTAAGGCAACCTAACTTCTATTCTAGCCCTACCTCACTTTACAGTCCTGGGGCTGAGAACTCAAAATTAAAGATGGCTTTAACACAGGACTAAAGTCAAAAGCACACTTCAGTTGTAACCAACAGCTCTGGAGATTACTAATGATGCACATAATTACAACAATAAATATCTGGACGAAAACAAAAATCAGTATCTCCATCCTGCTTGCAAATTTCTTGCACAATTTAAGATTTGCATTTATTTTTTCAAATGGGAACATAAAATGAAACAGATGTTGTGTCAACAAAACAATGATACATATTATTTTAAGAAAACCAAGGGTTTAACTGCAATGACAGGTCCACCCAAAAATATTTTAAATGGCATGAATATAATTCACAGAGAACAGCAGAGTTTCAATATTGAGATGCCAATACAAAGAAAAAATAAACTGACGCATTTTATTTAGTAGTGACATAACTGCAAGTGCTGGTGGTAGTGTCTGTCTTGAGGGGCCCACATGCTGGCCTGGCCCAGAGGATACAGAGCAGGGAGAGGCACATGCACCCACAGCTGGATCCTTTCTTGTTCCCATAAATGCTGACTTTCTGCAACTTGTGTGGCCTCTCAGATACTCCAAGATTTCATTCTAACATTCACCACAACACAGCAAGGCAGGCAGGAGCCCAAATGCGAAGAACAATGTTGCCCTTTTGCTACCCTTGGGCACACAGAAGCATCATGGGTCATTCAGTACAAAACCTAAAGTCCCTCCTTTCACATTCACTGACATTCTAGGAACATGGGGAAATCTGGAACACTCAGGAACGAAGCACTCTTGCTAGCCAACTCAACTGGATTTCTTTTGTTCACAAGATAATGGAGACAAGCTACCTCTTATTTGGCCTCTAATTCCCATCAGGGTCATGATCTGAATTTGTCCCACAAACTCATGGATTGGAAGGAATCCCCAGTGCAATAGTGTTGGGAGGTGTGGCCTATGGTGAGGAAAGGAGTGGCAAGTGTTTATATGATGAGGACTCTGACCTCATGAATGGATTAATGCCACCATATAAAGGACTTGCAAACACGCATTCACTCTCTTCTGCCAGGCAAGAACCCAGAGCTCGTCCCTTACTTGCCATTCTTCCTTACACCACCTGCAGGAACGGTAACAAAGCCCTTACCAGACGGTAGCACTTAAGCTTCCCAGTCTCCAAATGT